TGTTTTTCCCTTGGAATTTTCCAATAGATTCACAACCTCGCGTTCACAGCCCACTATACCTCCCTCCTATTTGAAAACTGAAGACAGATCTAAAGATATGTACCCATCTTTCTTCTCAGGCTTGGGGGCAGCACTGGGACATCTTTTTCCATTCTTCGTCGATATGTAGCTACACTGCTTGAAGGGTGCATTCTTGTCTTCGAGAATATGCTTAATGCAAAACTCCTGTCCCTCCAGGCGAGGTTGCGAGCATGGGCGATGAGTGAAAGCACACGGCAGGGGCTCCTGAGACCTAGGCACTGGAGTGATCCTCCCCCGGTTGGTAGGCAAGACGTGAATCCGAATCCTGTTCATCCCAAAACCTGCTGGGACTCAGAAAAGACAGAAAGCCCTTACCCTTCCCGAAATCTCCAGCTCCCCAACATCAGGACTGAGCCCAAGCCGTTGTTTCTACAGGGCAGAGCCACGTTGGCCTCGCAGGTTAGTCTCGGTCATTCCCCGATCGCCCAGTTCTTTTTCTTCCGGGCTTCCCTCAACCATTTGCGATTTTTGCCTCTCAAACTTCTCCCCGCATCGCCACCCACCCTGACCACCACTCCGGAAAGCAAATCCAGGACCCGCAGGGCAGCAGCGAGAACAGGCGACAGCAGGCACTCCACGAGGCAGCCATGCCGCAGGACCACGCCCCGCCCCCCTGCACAGCCCTTTTGTCCAGGCGCGCCTGGGACTCCGGACCGGGCCCTGCCCCTCTCGGCCACCAGGACAAACGCCATTTTGTCCTGAGGCTCCAGACACACGAGAATCTGGCTCCTGTGAGCCCGCAGGACAGAGAAAGCGTCTGCCGCTGGGTGAGGCGAATTAGCACCTCTGAAGGGGATTCGAAGGGCGCAGCTGCCGCCTAACCGCAAAGGCGCGGGACAAGCAGCGACGCCATCTTACCTCTGCCGCCACGCTGCGCAACGCCGCACGCCCTGAGCCCGCTGCGGCAAGCGCTCCTAACCCGGCCCTCGCCTTTCCGGGCCTCTAAACGCTAATTGGCTGCGGCTCCTACGACGCTGCGTCACCATTGGCTGAGGGCAGCTGCTCATCACGTCTGGGCGGGCGGAGCGCTGGGTAAACGCGCGCTGGGGTGGCTGGGACGCACTGCGCCGGAAGGAAATTCCGCGAGAAGGCGGGGCCGTTATCGGACGTGGATGCATTGCCACCTCGTGGCGTGCGCTTCTCGCCCTGGACAGAGGCTGCTTTTCCCGCCTCACTCCTTCGCAGCGGGAATAAAATCTGATACACAGAAGCTAGCAGGTCCCTGTGTGGGATGCATACAGGAAAAGGCCTTAAGTTCTCTTTTGTCGGCTGTTCAGTAGATTTACTGAACATCTATTCGGTGGAGAGCACGCAGAGAGCCATTTTTTTGAGTATTTACTATGAGTCTGGGAAATATTATGTACAAACATACTTGATTTTCAGAGCATCCGTGGCTCTGCGAATCCATAGCATCTCCATTCTGTAGGGTAACAAAAGGAACAGAATGGTTGTCCAAGAGTAATAAATGGGATGGTGGTGTTACGTGCCTCAGATTTCAACTCATAATGACCCCATGTAACAGTAAAGCTGCCCTGTAAGGTTTAATAGGTTGTAGCCCGCAGATCTCTCTCCCAGCAGACATTAGCTGGGTGGGTTTCATAGGACTAATTTGAGCCCAGCCCCCACAGGCTGTGATCAGGAAGGTAAAGCCCACCCCGCCCCTGGGGAACAGTTGAGCCAGACGGGCACACTAGGAATGCCTGCTTAGCTGAAGCATGGCCAATTTGGAGCATTAGCTAGTGTCTCTTCATGCCACCCTGGCCCTAAATGGCCAGTACAATCTTACACTAACCCTCCAACCTGTACATTGGAAATTTGCAGCAGGAAATCACAGCAGCAATATTTCCTACAAGAGACCATTCCAAAATCCAAGAGTTTGAAGATGGGCATTAATACAGTACACCCGGTAGAAGATAAAGAGTTAAACTGAGGTTGGAGGTATGGGGGGTAGGTAAAAGGGAGCTGATGCCAAGGAGACCAGGAAGGAAAAGAATGTTTGGAAGCTGATTGTGGCAGCAATTATACAATACTGCTTGATGTGATTGAACTATGGAATGATATATGTATTCACTCCCAATAATTTTTTTTAAGGAAGAAAAACAAATAAAAATTAAACCTAGCAGAGAAAAGGAAGGGTGCTATATAGAAGAATTAGCCTGAAAGGGGAACAGCCCCTGCCCAGACTTTTGACCAGACTAATAGGCACAGCCAGGGGCTGGTATTGGCCTGGGTTACTCCCCACAGGCAGTTTTTCCCCCATACTCATCAGTCTGATTGATTTCTCACATGAGTAATGATGGCAGCCCAATTGCTAAAAAAAAACCACCATGACTGGAAATACTAGATACAAAAAGAAGGAAGTGAGAGGCACCAAAATGGGTAAATCATGACCATCAAGTAAAATACATGCAGTGGTAGGAATGCACTCAAAGTGACCCCAAGTTAGGGCCATCCCCCAGGCTTACAGTACTGTGTGGATTGTCCCACTGGGCCCTCTTGGGAAGAGAGGATAGCAGAATTCAATTCAGGCACTACAGGACTCTACAAGCTTATAATCGGGGTGCTTTGGGAGATCATCCTGCCACTGGGATTAGTCATGTGCAAGCTTGACAGAACTGTTGGATTGAACCACAGCAACACCAACAACCCTAACGCTGACCCTTTTCCCTCAGGGGTCAAAATACCAAACCACCAAAGGCAGGTTTCCCAGATCTACAGGAGAGACAGTGGCCATCCAAGGAGCTAGGTCCTGTGGCGGCAGCAGCAGGAGATCCTTGGAGCTGGAGTTCCCTGGTGGAAGCAGAGGGCCTTCCTTATCCTTGAGTTCTCCTGGCCTTCTGTAGCCTTTGAGTTCATTATCGGTAGGCACGGGGTTTATGATTGATGCTCACCGAGGCGTCGCAGGACTTCTGACAGTTGCTTGGTTCATTGTCACATTGAAGGGGTAGCGCGTCACCTGTGCCTGCTTCAAGACGCTGCTCGTCCATTTAATGAGTCTGGTAACAGTCAAATTGTTAGGGAGGCAAAAGTGTTAGGCTGTGCCCATGCCATTGGCCCAGTTCTGTACCTCATGTCCGGTGAACTGAGCTTCCCAGTCGCGTCGACAGACATCTGTTATGGTGTCATAGACAGGGCACAGGTGGAAGATACCACAGATGGTAGAGCACTAAGTCCCTTGCTTGCACCGGATAGGCTTACAGGAGGCTAGTGGCAGTCTAGTGTGCATAAGAGCAGCTGTCACACGTCGGGAGGGGACCTATGTAATATACTTGCTGCTATTTGGCAGATGTGTCTGCAGAGGGTATTTTGTCCAGCTGTTGAGGGACACGCCTGCAGTCGCTGAAGAGCTCCCTGGTTTGCTTCAGAGAGTCCAACCTGTGGCAGTAGCTCAGAAGGTCTGTTGTCCTTTATGACCTGCCTTTTGAGGTAGCCGCTCCAACTGTTGAGTAGGAGCCTGCTATCTAGTGCAGAGCCAGACTAGGTCATCCACTCGGGCATTGCCCAGTGCAGGGAACAGGCTGTGTGCCTGTCCGTGAAACAGGGAAATGTTCATTCCCTATTCCCAGGCAAAGATATCTTTCTGTAAATCAACTCCCACAGAGCCCACCGACCCACAGGTCCGTCCTGCTTTCTTCATTGTGCTAACCATAATATGTTGTCATTGTTGTTTGGTGCCATCAAGTCATCCGACTCATAGCTGCCCTGTGCACAACAAAACGAAACCCTGCCTGGTCCCGCGCCAGCCTCACAATTGTTCCTATGCTTGAGACCATGGCTGCTGCCACTGCGCCAATCCATCTCCTCTCTTTCACTGTCTTTCCACTTTACCAAGCATGCCGTCCTTCTCCAGGGTCTGTTCTCTCTTGATAACATGTCCAAAGTCTGTGAGATGAAGTCTCACCATCCTTGCCTCTAATGCATCCTGCATTCTGGCTGTATGACTTCCAAGACAGTGGGCAGCCCACGGTACTTTCAATAGTCTTCACCCACACCAGAGTTCAAATGCATCTGTTTTTCTTTGGTCTTCCTTATTCAATGTTCAACTTTCCCATGCCTTTGAGCCTATTGAACATAACATGGCTTGGGTCATGGGTACCTTAGTCCTCAAGGTAACATCCTTGCTTTACAAACCTTTAAAGAGGTTGGTGCGACAGATTTAATGCAAAGCATAGTTTGATTTCTTGATTGGTGCTTTCATGAGCATTGATTGTGGATCCAAGCGAGATGAAATCTTTGACTTCAGTCTTTTCTCTATTTATCATGATCTTACTTACTGGTCCAGTTGTGAGGATTTTTGTTTTCTTCACATTGAGTTGTGATCCATACTGAAGGCTGCAGTCCTTGATCTTCATCAGCAAGTGCTTCAGGTCCTCCTCACTTTCAGCAAGCAGGGAGCGAGGTTGTGTCACCTGCATAACGCAGGGGGTCAAGAAGCCTTCCTCCCATCCTGATACTGCATTCTTCCTGATACTGCATTCTTCTTCATATAATCTAGCTTCTCTGATTAAGTGCTCAACCATAATATGAATCCTTTGTATATTACCCAGCTGTTCCGGCACAGGATTATAGAGCTGGCTTCATGCATCAGGACCATCCAAGCAGCACATTGCTCAGACCATTGGCTGCTTGACCCCTCCTTGTAGATCCACCTACCATCTGCAGCTGGCTGGATAGCCACTCCCATCCACCTAAGAGGAATGCCTCACGCTAAGCCTCTTCAGGACCTCTTAAGGGCCTGCATGGTCAGCTCTGCTCTTTGTGAATCATCTGCTTCCTTGGTGACATATGTTACTGGCCCAAGGACCTGGTGTAACTCAGCACTCCGAGTATTAGCCAACAGGGTGCTTCTCTGCTGCAAGTACACATGGGATTTTGTCAGTGTGCTGGTCTGGGCCACCCCTCACTGGTTTGGTAGAGAAGTCCTTCGCAGTCGTGGATGGGATGATAGGTGTGCAGCATCACTGGGGCTCCTTAGTTGTAAACTATTGTGGCCCAGAGTTGTTTTTCCATAGGGTTATACCTGGTCTCTGTACCCTTCCACAGTTGAGACAAAAACCTAGAGGAAATACACCTCTTGGTTGCTGTTGCTAAGGGCTTTAGAGGAGCTGGCAACATCCAATTCACACTCTTGCCCTGTGACTATAGTCCCTACACTTAAAGCCTGATCTGCTTCAAGGGGCCAATCCCATATCACTCTTATCTTTCCTAAGTGGCAGAGAGGGGGTGGTGGTGCAAGATTAGGGTGAAATGAGGGCTGATGGCCTCCAATAACCTAACATACCCAGTCTGTAGCTCCACTACTCTAGTGGGGAAAGGGGATGCTTGGACCTTATCAATCACAGCTTTGGGGACCACCTTCATCTTACTCAACCACATGTCCCCCAAGAATCTGGCAAATCGTTCAGGCCCCTGAAACTTGGCATCACTGATGACTCATCCTCACCAGTTTAGATGTGCAGCAAGCTGGGGGGCAGCATGTTGGAGAAGG